AGGTGGAGGTCCTGGGTGTTTCTGTCGGCTTGTGTGGTCGTGGTATCTCCCCGTCGGAAACTCTCCGGTTCCAAAAAGCTCATCGCTTGGCTCGTCGTCTTGCTGTTTTGCCTTGTTCTCACAGCTTCAAGTCTTCCTTGGTCTCTCTTGTTTTGTCTCCCTTGGTGTCGTGGGGGTCGCTGTTGGGTGGGCGTGTCCCCTCCATTGCTGAGGTTTCTTCCTTTCGTACCTTGGCTAGGTGTGCGGTCAAAGGTTACGAAGGAGGTCATGAAAGTGTGGATCTGCAGCAGGTTCTCCTTCTGGGGCATACTTCTGATCTCCTTTTTGTTTCCATTCAGCGTGTTCTGAAGGCTTTTCATTTGTGGCGTGCTTCTCACCCCCTCGTCCCTGCCGTGCGGCCCTCGGGTTTCTTGTCATGCTTCTCACATGCGGTTAGTCGGCTCGGGGGTGTCGTTGTGGGGCCTGGGGTGTTCCGTTTCGGGTTCTTTGCTTGGGATTCGTCCTCTCCCGTCGGTTTTGTGTCCGGGTATGCTCATTGCCTGCGGCAATTCTGGCGGCTCTCTCGTGCGCGGGTGTGGCTTAACTCTCAGCGTAACGATGCCCGTATTGCTCGCGAGTCGAATCTTGTCCTGACGTCGTCCCTCTTGGATCGTCTCCGTCAGGTCTCCCTCACCGTCGATGGTCATGCTCGTCAAGTCATGTGTGGCGGTTTGTCTACCACGGCTCATTCGTCGGCCCCTCCCAACTTTTGCTTCTGTTGTTCGCAAAACGTTGTCCAATCTACGGATCACATCTGGTGGCATTGCCCTGCCTTTTCTCACCTTCGCGTCGTGCCTCGTCCCTCCTCGTCTTGTGTCGCTCGTCTCGGGTGGGGCGGGGGGGGGGCCAATCCGAATATCATTCGGCAGCTTGGTGCTATTCGCCATTCCTTCCTTGCCCTTAAACGGAAGGAGGGGGGGGGCCCGCTGCAGGAGCCTCCCGATGATTGCTGATCCTGCCGCGCGCGGTGGCGGCTGCTTGCGCGTGCTACGCAGCAGCATCGACGACGACGACGACGACGACGAAGACGACGAAACGACGTTCGACACTTGTGCAGACACATGAGAATATCACGAAGTGCCACGCCTGCCACGCAAAACGACATGACAACACCTGCTTGGAAAGGAAAGGTTTTGCAGCTTCCCCCATAGACACGGCGAGGCCAGAGGAAAACCAGAGACTCGAGACGGGACATGTTGGAGCATCGAAACGAGCATTTCATGCAAGACTTCCTCCAATTTTCACACTGTGTAGCTTCAAAACCGACGTTTTCCTACGAGTTTTCTTATGAACCTCACAATTTGCTACCTCAAAATCGATATTTCGTGCGAGGCTTCCGTCACTTTTCATCACATCTCACAAAACGCCACGCCTGCCACGGAATTTGTACGTTGTCACCAACCACTTCACGCAGCCCTGACAATGCGATTCGCCAAAAACGCGCGACACGACACGTCTAAAGCGCTGCGCTTCCCACGCAAAATGATGATGGAGGTCGCCAAAGTGCTGCGCCTGCCACGAAAAATGCAACTCATTTTCTTGAAACGACACGAAAGTATTGCGCCTGCCACACAAAACGACTGTCAACACGTTATGAAGCATGTTGGACTGTCACGAAGTGCCATGCCTGCCATGCGAAACAAGGCCACGCGGCATTGGAAACTTCCACAAACGTGACCACTTTTGCACGTTTTGCAGAACTCACCATAGGCACGGCCATACTGGGCTCACGCGACCGCCCGCGAACGGTTGCGAACGGTTGCAACCGTAAACGCAAGGTCCAGCGAGCACACCTTCAACCCCCAGACGCCCAGAGTGAAACGGGAACCCTTGCTACTCATTCGAGAAAAAGACTATATAAGCATCATGTGGCTGCTCCGGGTCTAGGGATATAATTCAACTTACGAACACACCTACATGCACGCAAGTTTGCTCGTTCCGCATCATGTATTGTTGTTGAGCTAGCTGTAACTCTGAATGTCCAAACCTTTGAACTCTTTTTGATCATGTTTGACCGAGGTCCCAGCTCTGTGCTTTCACAATCTTTCACATGTTTTCACAATGAAATTCACTGAGAATACCAACATTACATCGACCATCGACCAATATTCCCCACATCAAAAGCCGCAGGCTTTTCAGCTCGGCTGCACGGCTTGAACAGATGGCGAAACCATGCGAAACCATCATCCCATACTGAAATTCGTTGCAACGAGTTGCTGACGTGGCACGGTGCTTTCACAGGCCGTGGCCCAACATATGGAAACATATGGCGACGTTTCTTGAAAATCACCATGGGTTAAGCACGTGTTTTTGCGGAAGGGAAGAAAAAGATAAAATCTGGGTGTAGGGAATGAACTGGTTTGCATGCAGGAAACAGGACGCACCTAATGCCGCACCCCCTCAATCGTTCAATTGTCTTGGTCCGAGGCGTTCAACTTATTAAGGGATATCCATCTCTCTCTATCTCTATCTCTGTTGTACAATTGCCAAGCACTGGGGAAATCATGATTTCCATTCCCAGCATAGCAACTTCCAAAAAGAAAGAGAAGTGAAACCTAGTATAAAAATGTATAAAATAGTGATAGTCAGTGATGAATGTGGTGATGTTTGTAGATGTTTGCAGTTTGCTTCATTTTGTTTCTCTATTTTTGGGGCGGCGAATAGCACGGTGTCCACCTGAACACTTCCGGCTCGGAGCCCGCGGAGCCCCCGTCCAGCTCCGCGGAGCCGTTCCGTCGCTCAGATCTTGGAAGCGTTTCCCTTGGTCAGAGAAAGTCGAAGGCGACCACAAACTGACAAAAAAAACAAAGAACATCAAAGAACATTCATATAGATTCATGTAGAATATATATGATATATATATAATTATATATATATGTATGTATATATCTCTCTCTCTCGAATATAGATAGAATATATATATATAGAATATAGATCCATGCAGGTCCATGCAGCACAACATGGGAAGACAAGTCCTTTTCAAAGTTTTTCAAATTGATGGTGACTTCAATCTGGTGACCACCGGGGACCAGCATTGCTTTCCCTTTGTTTTAACCCACTTAGGCTGGTATTGCTAGAATTTATACAGTGAATTTGATTGAATTTGATCATGTATGACTGCGTCGTGGAACGTTGGAGGTACCACGGGAGATGCATCCAACGCGCCAAGTTTTGAATCCAGAGTTCAATCGCGGCTAGACCACCCGTGAACCGGATCAGAAGAGGTGTTTGCAGAATGTGCCAACAAGCTCTGCAACTCGCTCAGATTAATGCAGCTCCCATTTGCCACGGTATGACGGTATGCCGCAGTATTCCTTTTGTCTCCTGAACTGATTGGAGAATATTCAAGATTCCATGTGGAGATGAAGGTTGGTTCAATACTGTGTGCCTGTGTACCTGCGTTCACAGCTGTCTTTGATGCACCTGGCGGTGCCATACATGAATGTCCCCTTTGGACGTGCCGTGAAAGCGGCCGATTTTTCCAATATGGAGTCACTTCATCAGCACTTGGGATCGCAGGACGAAATGCAAAATCAGAACCAACCTATTGCGCCTATTCCATCCTAATCCAATATTTAGAATATTTATAATTCAACATATTCAACCTCATCCAATGTTACCTTGGGCTGAGAAAAGCTGAACCCGAATCGTGGTCAAATTAGGTCGAGGAAAAGTTGAGCCTAGTGACTTGGCATGTTTTGGTACCGGTTTTTTGTTTTTTCTGCGGTGTTTATGTTCAGACTTCAAGGGCTCACTTTCACGCAGACTTTCCATGCTTATTCCATCCGAACTTGACGGGTATTTCCCACAATGGAAGTCTTATCAAGAAAGCTAGCGCTACTCTCTCTCTCTCTCTCGCGCTTGATTTAGTTATTGCCGTCACCACCATCAGCAGTAGCATTGCTTTTGGTCACTGCCAGCGGCAGCATTCACTTCGTGTTTGTTCTCGTTAGTATATAGTATTAATTATAGTATTAAATATAGTAATAGTATCAGAATCATTGAGTCTGATGATCTCCACTCCACTCCAAGACTTGCCAAGGATCAGTCCATCTCCCCCTCACCGCGGGTTTGTTCTCCCATCTCTCAGTTGCTGGTCGTTAGTTTTTTGATGTTGCAACTACTTTTATGGTCTTTTATGTTATATTATATTGATGCTTCATCCTCAACCTACACACCTTGGATTTCCATTAATTTTGATTTGCAGGAACATTTGATACAGCAGATTACCCTGCATTACCCTGCTTTCCGCTGCAGTGCCGACTACCGCAGCCCCCAGAATTTGTCGAAAAAGATCGATACCGGATCCGGGCGCCATGATAGGATGAAGATGATGAAGAGCCAGTCACCATCAGTCACAATTCACCATCATTCCACATCTCCCGGGGTTCAGGGGATGCTTTCAGATGAGATGCTTGGGGTATCTTGGGGTAAACTAGTGAAGCTGTGTAGATTGTGTAGAAGCATGGAACTTCCGCAGAAATGCTAAACTCATGACATTCCATTCGTAGATGGCGGGGCACACGTCATCAACCTGATCAATCTGATCAACCTGACATCCCGGCAGCGGTTCGCAAGCGCAACACAGCAAGGCAGGTGGCCACACGGATGAAGAGTCCATGATACATCATGAATCATCATGATACATTCTCATCTATGTCTGCCTATTTTTTGTAGTCAAAACACATCACAACTCGCAAGTCTACACCAATCTACACAAGACCATGACAGGAGATGAGAAAGTTCAGAAAGTTGAGAAATGTTGAGAAAGTTGGAGAGACCGCCGCACCGGTGTCAAGTCAAATCTGTTGAATCTATTGAACAGGGCAAATATGCTCAACCAAAGGCAGCTAATATACAATCAAAAGCGGATCTTGATCTTGGTTTCTTACGGTCTCTTTGGCATTCAGAAATGTTCAGAAACACAATAGGTTTAGAAAGCAGATAGCATCACGAAGCAATATTCTGGGGTGCCATGTCGCCCGAGTTCGAAGCTTAGCATAGCTCTGCAGTGCGACATGATGCGACATGATGCGATGCGACATGCATGTGTCGCGTGTCGCGTGTCGCGTCGATGTGCCACGAGGCCATCGATGGAGCCATCGGTGGAGCCGTCGGTGGAGCCGTCGGTGGAGCCACCGGATCCCGCGGCGGATCCCGGAGGCAGTGAGATCTCAAGGCGCAGCCGGGCGCAGCCCACCCTAGTGAAACTGGAAGATATTGGAAGATATGGAAAGAATTGGGAATGCTTTCCTATGTTTTCCATTGTTTTCCTACTCCTGGAAAGATCTGGAAAGAATGGTGTAAGTGGTGAATCTGGATGAATCCTGGCGAATTGGAGGATGAGGCAATTCACAAACTGAACGCTACTAGAAGAGTGTGTACCTCAACAGTGGAGAAGCTGCTATCCCACTATGATTTTACGTATCCCCACTATGATTTACTTGAAGCAAACTATAGTTTGCGTAGGACAATGTAGGGATAAAACATGGAGGTGGTGGAATGTCAAATGGATGCCATTTTGGCTCCAAGAACCCTTTTGTTGAAAGGGTGAGGTTCGGGCTTTTGCCAGGTGTTTCTAGGTGAGGTACTGCTATGTCCGCGAGTGCCTCGCCTGGTGGTACCGACTTGCAAGGTCTGGCTACGCTGGACGATCTTAGGGGATTCCTATGGATTCCTTCATGTGGGGGACCTCTGGACCGCGATCGTTCATCAGATTGGTGACCCAGGACCCCATGTTCAAGTCGCTGCTGCTCTTCCTGCCCCGGTCATCGTCCAGAGCTCCGTTTCTGTCACCCTTGCCAATGGTGACAACTTGACGGCAGTGCAAGCCACTCATGTGGGGCTGTTATGGCGGACGCCAAGGAAGCTAGTGCATTTCTGGGCTGGATTGCCCGACACTGCGTTTAGAGATGTGGAGCAGTGGCGTCTGGCAGACCCGTCAGTGATGCTGGTGGTCAAGGCGCGGGCCCTCCTACAACGGCGATTGGCGGTGGACAAGTGAAAGAACGAGTCCTAAAGATGAGCTTGCTGCTGGATCAAGCTGACGATTCAGAATTGACGCCTGTAACAAGAGATCAAGTTGTTTCGGGTGTATGTCCCTTTGGGGGGTGGGTCTTATCACATGAAAGGATTTCCAGGCCCGCAAAACTATCAACAATGGAACACATCCTGGCGTGTGTTTCGCACAGCAGCCATAATGCTGGGCATAGCATCATTGTCAGTACTACCACTGTACGAGAAGACCATTAAGAAGTTGGTGATTCAATAGCCCCAATGTTGGGTGTTGATATGCTATGCCGAAGATAAGGGAAGAGCTGAAAAGTCAGGTAAAATCCGAAGAAAAATTCAACATGATAAGCTTGCCGGAAAGGAGATGCCCAGTGACTGGACGGAGGACAACCCATGGAACGCCTGCCTACGGGCCTTGGCGACCGATGAAGACTAGTGGAGTGAACAAGTCCTCTTTGGACAGCAGCAGGTGGTCGTGGTGTTTTGATGGCTCCCGCGGAAAAAGCCGCCCTGACTCATGCGCCGGGAGGTCATGCACACATTGGAAGTGGAGTCCAAGCTGAAGATTGGCGAATCGTGACAAAAGGGCCGCAAAGCAGAGACCAACCAAAGCAGACCGCGATGAGCTGGAGCTCCCCCGCAAACGTGGAAACCCTTCAGATGGCCGCGGCGGGGGACAAGATAAAGGAAGAGGCAAAGGTAAGTCCAAGGACCAGGCAGCGACTCAGACCTGCTACTCCTTTGCAAATGCATCTGGCATTTGTGGGCCTGTGGAGCCAGGTGGAACATCCCACCGATGCCGCCGAAGAGCATGGCGAGGTGAAGGTGGAGTCGGACGATGGTCGAGAGGCCAAAGCTGAATGGAGAGCATCGAGGCCCGTCAAAGAGGAGGACACGGAGAAGGAGCAGGCTGATTCCCCCTTGGGTTCCGGTGCGTGCGTGTGGATGAGGCTCTCAAAGCTGCCAAGACGTTCAAGGAGTTTATGGAGAGACGGAGATTTAACTTCGTGCATTTGTTTTGTGGCGCAAGGGACGTCTTGGGGGAGGCGATCACGAAGATGGCGGGTCTGCAGGGCATCAATGTGAGAATTGTGTCGTTGGACAAGGCCATTGCCCAACCCTACAACGATTTCCTGGAGTTGGCGAGGACTGGAGAGATTGATGTGGCCCACTCGGGTTTTCCATGCGGCAGTTTCAATCGGGCCCTGCAGTTTACTGCGGACCTGTTGCAGAGCCAGCGTTTGAGAAAGGTCCCGGACTGTGCCACGTTCGAGAATCCCGCGGGATCAGAGGACCAACGAGAGGGGCCGGCTTGGTGTTTGCCTGAGGTGGACAAGTTCATGGGCGACTTCGACTGTGAATCCGTGGGTTCCAAACAAAAGAAGAGGACCCGATGGTGGAAGCCAGGCAAAATTGGTGGAAAATTGCCAGGCATGAAGGCGCTAGGTCGGAAATGCAACTGTCCAAAGCATTTTAAACATGAATCTTTGATTGGGAAGGAAAAGACATCCAAAGCTGCCCAATACCCCACGGAGTTGTGTATGGAGCACGCAAAACTTTTGATTCGAAAGTTCAGAACCGTTTTCGAACTGGAATGGTGGCGACATCAGCACAAGAAGAAGCAGACCAGCTTCAACTCAGTTAAGGAGAAGTGGGCCGCGTCTAGGGAAAGGCTTGCTATTGGCAAGCCTCTGTGGACAACAAGACTATGAAGGAGTTGCGAGGGTGCAAACGGGCCTGGGACAAGGACATCGATAAGGACCGGTTCCCGACACCAAGCAGGCCATCAAAGAAGGCCAGAAGGGACGAGGAGAATTGAGAAATCCAAAGCTTGCGCTGAGGAGGTTGGCTGTGGTGAAGGAGGCAGGCAGAGACGTGGCACGCCTGTGGAACCTCGTCATCGATCGCCCAGAAGCGTTGGAGGCGGCTTCCTCTTACGGGTCGGACTGGTGTAGCTTGGACGAGAGCATCGTCAAGGAGTGCAGTGGCGAAGCTGATGCGCGTGGAGGACGAGCCCAAGGTTAGCTTAAGGGGGCTTGCAAGCATCATTTTGCGTACCTCTTTACAGCCGCAATTTTGGGATGCTTGGTAGAAATTCAGCGGCGATCCAGAGCCATGCATCGGGAAGTGGGCCCGTGAAGGTGTGCCTCTGGGCATGGCGGCATCTATCCCGTCATCGAAAAGAGTCTTTTCCTCCAGCGATGGACGTGGCGATCGATGCGTACGTCCCGGGGAGACCAGATGGCCTGCAAAACTATTCATCTATGACGGACAACCTGGAGGCGGCCGAGTGCGAAATCAATCGCCTTGTGGACAAAGGGTTTGCAATCATCATGCCAACGGAGGAGGCATGTGAGACCTTCAAGGAGGGCACCATGTCCCGGTTAGCCCTCATATCCAAAATGAAGGACACCGGAATGAAGCACCGCATCATAATCGACTTGAGGCGGTCAAAAGGAAACGATCGGCGCTCTGTCAATGAAAGGATTGTTCTGCCCCGCATCATCGACGTCATCAAGGGCATCCAGGATCTGTGGCGCCACAGGGGCGAGGCGGTGGACAACCCGGAGTTTCAGGCCGAAATGATGGGATGTGACTTATCCGATGCTTATTGCCACTTTGATGTGGCATCCCCGGAACTGGGACATTGCCTGGCCCCACATCCGGACGGTCAGAATGTTATTTTGTTTAAGCCATGTTGTTTGGCTTTAAAGCAGCTTTAAAGCAGCTCCTCTGATCATGGGGCGTTTGTCGGCAGCTCCAGGATGTGGCCGGCCCTTTTGGAGGAGCATCAAAAGATGGTTCAGACCTACATGGACAACCCCTTGGTCACTGTCATCGCGGCGATGCTCCTGTCCACCGCGAGGGTGCTCGGCCTGAACCTGTCCTATGAGAAGGGCCTCAGGGGGACCAGGGGGACCAGGGGGACGTGGATTGGAGTCACCATTGAAGTCGACCAAGAGACCAGGGAGATCGTGTTGGACATCCCCCGAAAATTGGTGGACGACTTGCTGGAGAAGCTGCGGGGAAACGGCATGATCCCTCTACGATTGCGCTCGACCACATTAAAATTAAGGTGGGCGGCAGGAATATACCCCATGGGCGGTGGCAATCTGCTATGGTGTGGTCGCCGACGCCAAGAGGGACCTGAAAGAGGGAATTGAACATGAGAGGGCAGCCCGTCGCGAATCAGACGCCAGACCCAAGAGTGGCCTTGTGGCGGTCAGGAGACTTGGAGCTGGCGCGGCAATGGCTGGTTACCATCCTGGAACTGGAAGAGGTGTGGCGTGTCCGCAGAATCCCTTTGGCACCAAAACCGCCGCAGTGGGCACTGACCACAGACGCGTCACCTTTTGGATTGGGCGTGGTGCTGTCAGCGCGAAGAGAAACATGGCAGCAAACCATCGGCGTGCCGTTTCGTAAGGCCGCGGGCCAAGCTGCTTTGGAGGCTTGGGCAATTCTGTTGGCCATCCGCTTTTGGCGGGCCAAAATTAGGGGCGACAAGCTGCTGATCAAATCGGACAGCACTGTTGCCTTAGCCCTCACAAAGAAGTTGAACTCTGGCACCCCATTGGGTGGTGGTTCAGCTTGGGATGCAATGCAAGTGTCCGAGGTGACCCCATCACTTGCCCGGTCTAGGCCGGGCTCAAGGGGGGCTATGCCAAAGGGGCTGGTGGGGCTGACGATCCGGGTGCCCAACGAAGCATGGGCACTGGAAACGTTGTTGCCCCCTCCTGGCCAGGTACCTTCGAGTGGGGTCGTCAGGTTGTGAGAAGTGAGAAAGGGAAGGAAAAGTGAGGGGGGTCACGAGTGTGAAAATTTAGAGCACTGTAGAGTCTAGAGTCGCATGCTGTAACATACAAATGTGTCTGTATGTTTGTCCCACAGCCATTTGTTTTCATCATGGAGGTAGTCGTTCAACTCGCAGGTGGATGACGACGTTTTCACGCGGCTGCAGCTGGGCCTGTTGCTCGGCTTGGTGACTACACCAACGGCGTTGGCATGGATGTGTTGCTGCACAGGAAAGTGCTACAGGCGCGGTGGACCACCAATGCAAGAGCGTGCAGACTTGGGAGCCTTGGGAGTGATCCTCACCAAGTAGAGGGGACGCATCGGAGAGAAAAAGGGACATCACTTGCACCCCAAGGCGACAGAAAAGTCACAAAACGAAAATTTGGAGAACAGGAACTTGATCCTACGGGACATGGAACGCAGAGCTCGGCCCATCATGAAAGAATTGGAAGTTCGTCGAGCGGGCTGGCAAGCTCATCGGGAACAAGCGGGGGAAGAAGCGCATCAGATGGACGCGAGAAGGTCCTACTCCACGAGGTCCACGGATTAAGCCTGCTGGACTTTGTTAGGCCGGGATGCGTCAGGAGCCCTGCGCCCAAAGAAGAGGCTGTGAAGTTGTCGGCCTCAAATCAACATCGCCAGCTCAAAGAAGTTTTCGACAGTGGTGGACAAGTTCAAGAAGAAATTCTTCGCCAATACTGCAGAAAAGTTAAGAAGCTGCAAACGGAATGAGGCAATGAAATTGGCACGCCAAGCTGCAGGTACCAACCAACCGTTGCCGCTAAGCAGAGACACGGTAGAAGGTGTGGCCGCTGCCCTCAAGGAAGCCGGACTCAAGTCTGGGCAGCAATACATGACAGATCTAAAGCTAATGTACATGAAGCTGGTTTCGATATGTTTCGATGTGGAAGCCTGGTTGAAGAGAAGCTTCGACTTGTGCAAGAAGAGTTTGGAGCGGGAGAGAGGCCCAGTCACCAGGGCCATGGAGGTGAAGGTCGAAACCGTTCCAAGACTAGAACTCCTGGGATGCCCTGGTTGAGCGCCAAAATGTTCTTGTGGGCAGCCATTTGGATGCTTAGAGAGATTGAAGTTCGAAATATGAAGGTGGGTGACGTCAAACTTCGCGGCTCGGAGAGGGCAGTCACTATCTGGTTGCCGGTGTCAAAGTGCGACCAGCAGGGCATGGGTGTAAGGCGCACACTCAAATGCAACTGCCGTGACTCTTACTTTGATTGGTGCCCCAGGAAGTTGGGTCACAAGCTCGTCATGGACGCCAAGTTGAAGGGCATGTTTACAGACGCTAGGTTGTTTCGAGACTTCAGAGGGGCCGGCACATCAAAGACCGGAGTCATAAAGAAATGGAAGAAGACTTTTGGTGAGGATGCATCTGGTCACAGCCCGAGGCGAAGCGGGGCCATGTTTTACATGAGGCAAGGCTTGCCCATCCAAGAGCTCGCCTTTTTGGGAAGGTGGAAGAGCAGCGTGGTATTGCAATACACTGGGGAAGCTCTTCAGGAAAAGGCAGTTGAAATCCTTCAGCCGACTGGACATTCAAATGTCTCAATCAGGACTACAAACGTGTCAGCGGAAACTGAGTCGTTTCTACCGAAGGAAAACAAATTTCAAGCAAGCCTTGAAACGATTAACGAACGGGATATTTCTCACACGTTCGACAAGCCCAAGGATTTATGGGCGGTGACAAAAGGACGAGGCTGGAAAAATCGTCCCAAACATCGAGTTACCAAAGCAGCCTGGACTCTACCCATCAAATCCTCGACCACCGCTTGTGGCTGGCAGTTTGCCAACCATTCCTCAGAATTTTACTTTCTCACCTGTTCGCAGGTGGACAAGGCGAAGTGCAGCAAATGTGAGAACCACCACAAGGCGCAAAATGTCGAAGAGGCAGAACAGCGCCTGATGAAAATCAATGAAAGAACCTACAAGAGGTCAACGCAAAGCGACATCTATGGATGTCAAATCCACCAATGTGAAAATGAATCCTGGAGGGAGGGTGGGGTTTGAGCTTGAAGACCGAAGTTGTCTGTAATTATATAATATTGTATGTATGTAAATATATATATATATAGAGAGAAAAAAAAACATTTTTATGCTATGGTGTCACGTCGTGTCACCGCCCAAACAATTCCAAATCTGTGAATCTACGGGCGGGAGATAGGAAGAGCGCCCTGCTTGGCAGAGTTCCCTCCTGACTTGATCCCATTGCAGGTACGTTCCAAGGCAAGGGGTGTCGCTATATGTCGCTGGTTGGGATGTAACATGATGTAATTGCGTTATATCAGTGTAATCAAGTGAGGTCACAGAAGCACCTACTGCACAATCTGTGCACTGGGATGCCGTGCAGTTCTCGACTGACACTGTCTTTGGTTTTCGCTGGTTTTGCCAGATTTTTCAGATCATGATAAGACTATACAAATACAAAGGTTGCAATGTTGTGAGATGTTGTGATGTTTTTTGGTGCGGCCGATGTCATAGCTTGCATCCAGGAACCTCGTTCGCAGAGCCTCGTTTTTGGAAGGCAACTGGGGGAGCGTCTTGGAATGTCTTGGGATGGGTAATTTTGCTGAAGAAGCATCAAGACTAACTAGTGAAAAGTAATGAAGATTTATGAAAGGAAACAAACATGTCCGGTGGCTTGGCGAGGATTATGGGCTGAGTCTAAAAATGCGGCAGAATCCAGGTTCCCGACGGTTCCCGACGGTTCCCGCGGGTTCCCGCGACGGTTCCTGACGGTTCCCGACGGTTCCTGACGGTTTCCGACGGTTCCCGACGGTTCCCGACGGTTCGTTGTGTTAGGAGGCCTTGCGATGCCTCGTGATCCCTCACTGTTCTATATCCAAGCGTGCCATCTTGTGCACTTTCCATTCAAGGGTGAGCTTGTGGGAATGGGATCTAATGGGAACAGGTGCTAATAATTGCTAATGATTGCTGTGGCTGGTGCTGTGCTGATAGGTGATGATGGCAATTTGCATGACGTCCACGAATATGAAGTTCAAAGCGGGGTATCGCCGGAATTCTCTCGCATTCACTCCTCGGAGTTTGATTCAGAGGCACCGGACCGGTGAAAAACTGGGTGACTTGGTGACGTGGTGACCGTAACATTGGCCACGCTCAGGCACTTCTGGAAACTATGCTCAGGGTTAGGTATACGCAGGGTGCTTGAAGAGAGTCCAATACAAAAGTCTAACCGCCAACCGCAAATAATTTGGCAAGCATCCCTTTCGCATGAAACTCATTGCATGCATACCCTCACATTTTTCACAAAATACTCGTTCAGACAAAAGATACCACAGTGGCGCGCCAGCGTGAGGCTGACAGCAATTGCGATTGCAACTTGTCTACAGGGAAAATGGATGGCAAAGCACTCCACAGTCGGCATTTCTTTGAACTGGAAAATTTATAGATGTTACTGGAAAAGGACAGTTGCTAATCGGAGAAATCGAATGAAATTGATGCTTTGACATGCTTTGATATCAAAGCTACCGGGCAAGCCCTTCTTCAACTAACCTTAATCACTTAATCCACCTTAATCCTGACAGACTTGTCGTTTCTTTTTGGGGTGGGCAGAGCTTCCGACTCCAGTTGACACGTCTCAAGTTGTCAATTGTCCTGCGCCAAGATGTTAAGCCAAAGCTGATCCTTGGGGCAAACTTCATTTCGGGACGGCGGAACTCCGTCCCCACTGGCATCCACGACAAGAGGCCCAAAGCACGACGGAGTGGGAAGGGGCATTTGAATGGTGCTCAATTTGACAGCAAACCCTATTTCTTGATCTCTGTTGTTTTGACTAGGCTGGATTGTAGCGCAGGGCCCGAGCGAAAGAATCTATCATTCATTTTAGTAGCCTGCTATGGTCCACACGGAGTGGAGAGCCAGATTCAGACACGCGGAGCTGCTGAGAGCAAAAGATCAACTTGGAGACGATGAAGTACAGTATTTGGATTACGTCTCGTGATTTGAATTTGGAACGCTTTAGATATCTTTTGATCATGTTGGCACAGGCCGCACTAGCAGGCCCAAGATAGTGTTGGCGTTTGTGTCACTGTATTCACCTCGTCTACCATGGTGGATTCTCAGATGTTCTCAGTTCTGATCTGCAGATCTGCTCGGATTGTGCACCTTTTCCTTCGGAATCCGCTGGTGCGGAACGGAATGGGAATCTTGACCCTGTGGCCCCGGCATGTTTGCAGGACACATCATGATTCATGCGGACATCCACCCGTCCACCATCGTCCACCCATTCACCCAATATACGCACACAGATGTACGGATGCGTATGTATGCATACACACACTCATACAATATATCATGTTATATGTATATTATATATATACACATAATAATATAATATATATATATATATATACGTGATATAATATATAGATATAGATATAGATATAGATATATGCGTATGCATATTTTTTATTTTTAACCAGCCCCCGCAACAAAAGAGTGTCTACCATTCTTATCCATGTTTGCACGTTCACTGATTATATTATTTGGGAAGTAGAGGAGACATGATTGCGTGTGACAGTTTTCACAGTAACTTGTAGCATCTTGTGACATGTTTCACATGACCATCTACTTATGGCTCACGCCTGTGCAGAAAAGGTGTGACCGCAGGGTTTGAACTGCCTTAAACTCCGTTCATGGTAGCGGAGCTGCTGGTGTGAAAGAACTGTGAAAGCTGCAGCGTGTGAGAAGGCTGCGACGAGTGTGGCACAACCTGGGGTTGCATTTGCAACAGTTGCAGCTCAGCCAGAGGGCGAGGCGCCGTTTGGCTGCCACTTTCCCTCGTGAGGACTAAGTCCACTTGGGTGCTTCACCTGAGGAGGACATGTCCACTCCAGAGATGCAAGCCTTAGCTGGCGAGCTGCAGACTCTAAGACAAGAGTTGTTGCTGAAGGCAGAGGCAGGAACACACCCAGGAAGTCGAACGGGTACAGCAAGAGAGCGCCCAGAGGCTTCAATCAATGGGCGAGCCTCATGCCTTCCAAGTGTGACCTTCAGTGGGCGATCCTCACTGATCCAACAACCTTTATATGTCTTGTTTAAAAAATGCAGCGTTGGCTCCAGTCAAGTCACAAATGTGCAAGGAAAATGCCTGCACAAGAGAAAACAAGTGAAGGCTCGACCTCATTGAAAACCATATGGACAAGACAACTTCTGAAAATGGGCACCAAGAACGAGAGCGAGAGATTGCACAACTTCTGAGGAAACAAACCTTGAGGTAGAAACGTCATCAGATGAAGTAAGGACAAATGAACTTAAATGAACCGAAGAAAACCAAATGGACATACCCAGGCACTGGGGTGCAGGAAGCTATGCACTTAGATTTTTGCAGAGGCTCGCCCTGCTTCACAATAATTTGCGGGGGAACGCGCTTTGTTACATATGTGGATGCAGGAGCAAAAAAAAGCGTGTGTGCGGGAGGTGGGGGTGATTGTGATTGTTTGATAGTTTGCGTGGCGAACCTCATGGAAACTAAAAAATCGAACCATGCGTGGGCTCGAACATGTTCCAAAAAAGGATCAACTTGTTCCAAAAAATGTTTTGCCGCAATGTTTGAACTCAAGTTTTTCCGTCCCCTTTTGAGGCCCGACCCGCAAGGAGGAATGCTGTGCCCTTACTGTGGCGAGGTCCGCTATACTCCAAGGAATGGAGACCTTGCCAAGTAAGGGAACAAAAACATGTTGTTGGCAATTATGATGGTTGCCGCATTTGCGACCATCTCCCTGCCACAACTCAAAGAAGATTGGTGGAGAAAGTGGAGTGGAGGTATTGGTATTTGATGGAGCCACCGGCCCAAGCTGCATTGGAGAACTTGGCGCGCCGGGCCCATCAGGAACCTCCAATGACGAAGGAGCGGCTGCACCATTCTTTTCACACCAACCCAAATCAGGTTGGAGTTGGAGAAAAGATTCCGTGCAAGCTCTTCAAAGTCCTTTTCGGGCCCTACGCGGAGGAAGCTGGGATTCAAAAGAGCAGAAAGGCAGCCGACCTACTGGAGGTCATCATGGAGATGGCGCGGAACCAAAATCATTACCTGTGGAGACAGCTGAAGGAGTTCATGGACATGGTGCATTACTTGCAGGTCTACAGGGAGATTTTTCCACCGGTGTGCATTCTTCGACCTGTTTTTGGCATGAGGTGGCCCGCATCTCATTTGTTATTGCCTTGAAGTCTTAAAGGGACAAAAGGCATTTCTTGGCAAAACTCAGGACGGGCAAAGCTCAGGACGACCTTTCTTGGCTTGGCGTTGGCAAAAAAGGTTGGGGTGGGCAGCGGCAGCTGTGTTTGCTTGAAAACGATCTTTTACACATATGTTTGGAAAACCAGTCTGTTTTTTTCTTGTCATGGGCGAACATCACTGTTTTTTTTTGCATTTCTAGCAGGCAAGCCGCATTTTTACAAAAAGTTGATATCTTGGAAAGTCAACGTGCAGGAGCTATAACTGGTTAAAGTCAGCGTAAAAGCCCACGTGCATAACAGAGTTTATAAAACCGTAAGCGCCAAAACCGTACAAGTGGATAGCACGATATGCCGCATTTCTTCTGAGGAGGTTTCGTATTGGAGATGACGGTAAAGGGCAATCGGATGTGAATGGTGGCGACCGACTGTGGTTTTCGGCGAGCAGATTCTGTTTAAGCCAGTTGGGGCCGTTGGCAGAAAAAGGAGTTCACCTTTAACTTTGGAACCCCGAGTTGCAATGGGAAGGTACATCGGAAACAGGAACGCGGATCTGTTGGTGATGACACCCACTGCAGTTGTCAAAGGCTACTCCCGGCACCGCCGAGCAGAAGAAGATCGTTGGACCACAGAAGGATTCGAAACTCTCCGAGGACTTCCTAGGAAAATGACGTATCCAGTGGAAAGAGCACCTCCAAACCGTGTAGACATGCCTGCACTGGTTGGAGAGCAACCAAAACTACCAAAACCCGAAGAGAAGAAAGACTTCAAGTCAAGTAACCTCTATGTGCTGAAAAGCGACATCGACAAACATGGATACACCCCACTCTGTCCAGGGTGTATCGCCCAAATGGAACCGCGGCCAGAGCACACAACGAGGAATGCAGACTGCGAATCCAACGAAAGCTGATGGAAACAGACCAAGGCAAGGAAAGAGTGAAGAAAGCAAAAGAAAGATCGGAAGCAGACTATGGTCGAAGAGGCAGGAAGAGACCGGCGCTCGAGGGACGACCGCCACCAGATGTACCTGAGGTGGCGGCACCAGAAGCTGCAGGAGCACCTCTCGAAGCACCAATGGAAATCGCACCTGCACCGCCACAATCCGAACAGAGACGTGGACAGAAAAGAGATCCACCTGACATCGGCGACCTCTACAGGGAAGAGGGCCATCACCCGGCTCCACCGATGACCCAGATGTAGTGGTCCAGAGCCAACAAGGGAGATCCAGTGGCTCAGGAGGGGCAAACCCCGTTCCTGATTTAGCAATGGATGGAGGACCTGGAAGTCCACCAGAACCACCACTGTCCGAAGATGTGCAAATAGGACTCATCGAGAGAGCGTACCATGACATAGGAGTCAAGCGCGAGAAACAGGAAGCGAAGACGTTGTCCAAGCTGGTTGGTTCACTAGGTGCGGACTACAAGTCTGAGATTCCTGTGAACAACGGGTTATGTTTCAGCCTGGAACAAGACGGGCTGAAGCCTTTGAAGCTGCACAAGGAAACGGATGTCGAGACTCTCTATCGGAGACTGGAAGAAAACAAGCCAAAGCTTGTACTGGGACTACCTCCAGACGGACCATTCGCTGCTGTTACAGCGAAGCTACAGCTACTCTGAATCATAGAAGGCGACAAAGGAAGTTGTCAGACAGAGACAAGAACAAGCACGAAAGCAACTGCGTTCGTGTGTGGATGTTCTAAAGAGACAGGACAATGAAGGGCAATACTTTCATCAAGAGTGCCCAAGAGGAACGAAATCCACCGAACAAGCGCGCTCTACCAAGAAGCCAGTGAAGAACTCCACACGGCCGATGGACCAATATGTATCTGGATCGTCGACGAGTCTGGCAAACAGATCTCTGGAAGCAAGTCAAGAAGAAAACGCGCTGGATAACCAATTCAGCTGCAATAGCCTCATCACTCAAGAGAGCATGCAAGCAATCAGGGCCACGAATTCTCTCCTGGAAACGATACCTCTCGTTCGAGGAGGGGAAGGTCAAGGCAAACCTCAGATACCCGCCAAAGCTTGCTCATGCAATCGTGATGGGTATCAAAGCACAGCTGATATACTGGATGGTGAAATGCGAGAAATTGGCCACGTAGGCAGACCGGACCCGCACGAAGAAGCCAACTTCGAGGAACATCATCACAATGTTTACCAAGCGCAAAAGAGTTGTATGTGAAAGAACCAGTGATCGATGCCAACACAGGTGCCGAGCTTGACCCAAAGAAAGTCGCAGCCGCTCGGGCTACAGAGTTAGCCTGGTGCAACGACAAAAGGTGTATGAAAAGGTGTATGAAAAGATCGATGGGTCGATCTGCCATGAAGAAAGGGGAAAACCACCGATAATCTGAAATGGATTGATCGCAATACGGGCGATCAAGAAAACGAGAACTACTGTATCGCTCACGTCCCGTAGTGAGAGAACTGAAATCTGAAGGACAGGCAGCACTGATCCCTGAGAACGCACTGCTCTCATCAATGCCGCCTTTAGAGGCGCTTAAGCTGATGTGTTCGTTACTAGTCACGTTGCACGCTTCGTGCAATGGCAGCGCAATGCCACTGAAGCTTATACAGACATCTCGCATGCGCATTTCTACGGAGTTTTGTTTGTTCGTACACGGAGATGACTTTCTTGTCCTATAGCGGACGAGGAAGGCCATGAGTTCGTTGACCAAGTTCTAAAAGTCAAGATACGAGTTCAAGTGCGATGGACACATTGGACCGGGACAGACGAAGCAAACCATGTCTGTTCTGAATCGTTTGTTGGCTTATCATCCCGAAACGGGAATGATCAGCTATGAAGCTGACCCAAGACACTCAGAAGCACTTCTGAGCACTTCTGAGAGAACTGAACTTGGAGAAAGCAGAGCCTGCAAAGACACCTGCGGAGAAGAAGAAACACCGAGAAGCTATGAAGACGCTGGAATCGCCACCGTTAGATGAAATGCAACGTCAATACAGATTCCTTACCATGAGAGCCGCTTTCTTGGCACAAGACAGACCTGATATCGCAGAAGCGACCAAGTCGTTGGCATGAAGTCAATGACCTGAAAAGGTTAGGTCGTTACCTGAGGGGACGACCGCGTCTTGTTTACGAATATTGGCCACAGCGATTCCAGATGGAACTGGCTGTGCTCTGCGATTCTGACCACGCGGGATGTATCATCACGCGGAGGTCAACTAACTACAGGCCTAGTAACTATGTGAGGACGACACTGTATCAAGCATTCAAGCAACATCCAATCCACAATTTCGCTTTCAAGTGGCGAAAGTGAATACTACGCGATCGTGAAGGCCGCAGCAACAGGGTTGTCGATACAAGCCCTACTATTTGATTGGAACCTCGAAACAAACCTGAAGGTCAAGTCAGATTCTTCAGCAGCAAGAGGAGTCACACAGAGCAAGGGTTAGGACAAACCCGCCATGTAGAAACATGGTTTCTCTGGGTAAAAGGGAAAGTCCAGAGAAGAGTACTGGAGCTCGAAAAGGTTGGAACAAACCACGATGTTCAGACCTGCTCACAAAGCCATTGCCCCAAGCAGCTGCCGACAAGCACCTGAAGTCAATGAACCTGTGAAGACCACAATGCTGAAGGCAGTGGGTGCAAAGCAGCTAGTCTGAGGCCAATGGGTAAGAAGACCTTACCGCCTGGCCTAAGAGGGGTGATTGCGTGTGACAGTTTTCATTGTAACTTGCAGCATCTTCTAAGATGTTTCACATGACTGTTTACTTATGGCTCAAGGCTGTGCAGAAAATTTGGTGCGACCGCAGGGTTTGAACTGCCTAAAACTCCGTTCAAGACATGAGGAGACTACTATATTTCAAGACATGCTGCGCACTTTTTTTCCGACAAACACTTTCTCTGCTGGGGAAATTGAAAAGGACTTGTTCTTTTCTAAACAGTGCTTTGTTGGAAAAAACCTTCACTTGTTCAAAGAGAAACTGCGCAATTTTCAAACATAGTGTTTCCTTTAGAGGAATGTTGCTGTGCTTTCTGAAGCGGGCATATACTTTAATTATTAATCTAAGTATATTGCATATTTAGTACTAGCTAAGAACATAAAACTTTTGAAAAAATTAGCCACTTTGAAAAAATGATCAAACTGAACAAGTTGAGAACACTGGCAAGAAAGAACTTGCGTTCTTCCGTTTACTTCAGTTATCTTCTGGAAATTCATAGCGTGTTCAGTGTTTTCAGTTGGTTCAAGTTGTTTCATTTTTTTTCGGTTTTGGTGATGTCGTGGTGGGATATTGTCACGTCCGGTCACGTCGCCACCTGGGATATTGGGGATGGTTCACAAACTCTCCGCGCCAGGGTGGATGCTGTCCTCACCTGTGTAGACATCGATGCAAGAGCTGGAGGTCCTGAAAAGTGCGATACGGGCGATACGCATCGATATGGGATATGTCGTTTGTAGCTGAATGTAGATATGTGTTACAGGTGCGCATACATAAACAATAATATACATATATAATATATCAATGTACATGGATATACTCCAGTCAAGAGTTGAGTGCAGTGTTTCAGAATTTGTCATCGGATTGATGGAAATTGTCCATGCTTCCAAGAAATTATTCACGTGTCACACCATTTGTCATCGTTTTACATTCGTGTTCGACAGCTCTCGCTGGAAGCTCTTAACGATACCGTTCCGATAATACTATTTACATATACGTATACATATACATATACATCATATACATCATATACATCATATACATCATATACATCATATACTACATATACTACATATTCTACATGTACTACATGTACTACATATACTACATATACTACATATACTACATATACTACATATACTACATATACTACATATACTACATATACTACATATACTACATATACTACATATACTACATATACTACATATACTACATATACTACATATACTACATATACTACATATACTACATATACTACATATACTACATATACTACATACATATATGCATGTATAATCTGTATGGTTGTATGGCCTGATGGTTCACTGATTATTTGATGGTTGATGATTGATCATTGTTGATTATTGTTGACAATCGTTGGTTGAGATCAGCATCCCTGTTCCACCGCCAGGGACGGGAGGCGATCCTCCAATTTGGCTTACTGTGGCCTCCAATTGTTGCCTTTCGATGTTCCTTAGCCACAATTAGCCATGTCAAAGCAACGTAAGTGGCCACGGTGTTGAAATGCGTTGGAATGGCCAGCGGTTCTGGCGAAAAATTGTTGGCGGAAGCATTGCGGACACATTTGACAAGGTTTGTAGATAGTTTTTTACTTTGCAAAATGCATAATTAGGATGCAAAGGCAAACAAAAGAGGACTCAATTCTATGTTTGAGGTATTTTGATGTATGTTGTACTGAGGTACTCCATTGAATTCCTCATGTGGGTTTGGGTTCTCCCACTGCGGCGAGCGCTGCGAGACAAATTTTTGATGCCCCTTGGTTTTCCAATGCTGCCGGCTTCACAGCGATGATTTGGATGGGGGCTCACGGGGTTCCGCAATTATGGCGCCCTTTCCATCAATTTCAATTTTTTCCATCTTCATTACGAAAGCCAGCCGGGTAGCTGGCTAGTTGCTATTTGCGAACGAAGTGAGAATAGGGGGTCTGGGGGGGGTAGTTGCCAAACGGGTCAAAAATCGCGAAAATAGGTGGTGATTTTGAGTTGCGGGCAAAGTATGGTTTTGCAGGGTAATGTGCCAGGCGGCAAAACAGTGACGGTGCGTATCGATTCCCCCTAGGTCCGGTTTTCTGGGGGTTTCTGGGCTCAGTCAATGGACAGATAGATGGGCCAGCTAGTTACAGGAGATTAGAGAGAGAAGGACATTGGGTGAAAAGTATGTGCAAGAAGGGTTTCTGGGTGAAGAGTCTCTGGGTGAAAAGTATATGGGTGAAAAGTCTGTCCAAGAACAGTTTCTGGGTGAAGAGTCTCTGGGTGAAATGTCTGTGCAAGAAGAGTTTCTGGGTGAAGAGTCTCTGGGTGAAAAATATATTGGTGAAAAGTATGTGCAAGAAGAGTTTCTGGGTGAAGAGTCTCTGGGTGAAAAGTATATGAGTGACAAGTATGTGCAAGAAGAGTTTCTGGGTGAAGAGTCTCTGAGTAAAAAGTATATGGGCGAAAAGCATGTGCAAGAAGAGTTTCTGGGTGAAGAGTCTCTGGGTGAAAAATCTGTGCAATAAGAGTTTCTGGGTGAAGAGTCTCTGGGTGCAAAGTATATGGGTGAAAAGTATGTGCAAGAAGAGTTTCTGGGTGAAGAGTCTCTGGGTGAAAAGTATATTGGTGAAAAGTATGTGCAAGAAGAGTTTCTGGGTGAAAGTCTCTGGGTGAAAAGTATATGGTTGAAAAGTATGTGCAAGAAGAGTCTCTGGGTGAAAAGTATATTGGTGAAAAGTATGTGCAAAAAGAGTTTCTGGGTGAAGAGTATATGGGTGAAATGTCTGTGCAAGAAGAGTTTCTGGGTGAAGAGTCTCTGGGTGAAAAGTATATGGGTGAAAAGTATGTGCAAGAAGAGTTTCTGGGTGAAAAGTATTTGGGTGAACAGTATGTGCAAGAAGAGTTTCTGGGTGAAGAGTTTCTGGGTGAAAAGTATGTGCAAGAACGTTTCTGGGTGAAGAGTCTCTGGGTGAAAAGTATATGAGTGAAGAGTATGTGCACGAAGAGTTTCTGGGTGAAGAGTCTCTGGGTGAAAAGTATATGAGTGAACAGTAGGTGCAAGAAGAGTTTCTGGTTTCTGGGTGAAGAGTCTATGGTTGAAAATATGTTGGTGAAAAGTATGTGCAAGAAGAGTTTCTGGGTAAAGAGTCTCTGGGCGAAGAGTCTGTGCAAGAAGAGTTTCTGGGTGAAGAGTCTCTGGGTGAAAACTATGTACAAGAAGAATTTCTGGATGAAGAGTCTCTGGATGAAAAGTATATGGGTGAAAAGTATATGGGTGAAAAGTATGTGCAAGAAGAGTTTCTGGGTGAAGAGTCTCTGGGTGAAAAGTATCTGGATGAAACATATGTGCAAGAAGAGTTTCTGGGTGAAGAGTCTCTGGCTAAAAAAGTATATGGGTGAAAAGTATGTGCAAGAAGAGTTTCTGGGTGAAGAGTCTATGGGTGAAAAGTATATTGGTGAAAAGTATGTGCAAGAAGAGTTTCTGGGTGAAGAGTCTCTGGGTTAAAAGTATATGGGTGAAAAGTATGTGCAAGAGAGTTTCTGGGTGAAGAGTCTTTGGTTGCAAAGTATATGGGTGAAAAGTATGTGCAATAAGAGTTTCTGGGTGAAGAGCCTCTGGGTGAAAAGTATATTGGTGAAAAGTATGTGCAAGAAGAGTTTCTGGGTGAAGAGTCTCTGGGTGAAAAGTATATGGTTGAAAAGTATGTGCAAGAAGAGTTTCTGGGTGAAGAGTCTATGGTTGAAAATATGTTGGTGAAAAGTATTTGTATCAAGAGTTTATGGGTGAAGAGTCTCTGGGTGAAGAGTATATGGCTGAAATGTCTGTGCAAGAAGAGTTTCTGGGTGAAGAGTCTATGGGTGAAAAGTATATTGGTGAAAAGTATGTGCAAGAAGAGTTTCTGGGTGAAGAGTCTGTGGGTGAAAAGTATATGGGTGAAAAGTATGTGCAAGAAGAGTTTCTGGGTGAAGAGTCTCTGGGTGAAAAGTGTATGGGTGAAAAGCATGTGCAAGAAGAGTTTCTGGGTGAAGAGTCTCTGGGTGAAAAGTATATGGGTGAAAAGTATGTGCAAGAAGAGATTCTGGGTGAAGAGTCTCTGGGTCAAAGGGGTATTGGTGAAAAGTATTTGTAAGAAGAGTTTCTGGGTGAAGAGTCTCTGGGTGAAAAGTATATGGGTGAAAACTATGTGCAAGAAGAGTTTCTGGGTGAAAAGTCTCTGGGTGAAAAGTATATGGGTGAAAAGTATGTGCTAGAAGAGTTCTGGGTGAAAAGTTTATGGTTGAAATGTCTGTGCAAGAAGAGTTTTCTGGGTAGGGTGAAGAGTCTGTGGGTGAAAAGTATATGGGTGAAAAGTATGTGTAATAAGAGTTTTTGGGTGAAGAGTCTCTGGGTGAAAGGGATATTGGTGAAAAGTATGTGCAAGAAGAGTTTCTGGGTGAAGAGTCTCTGGCTAAAAAGTATATGGGTGAAAAGTATGTGCAAGAAGAGTTTCTGGGTGAAGAGTCTCTGGGTGAAATGGGTGAAAAGTATGTGCAAGAAGAGTTTCTGGGCGAAGAGTCTCTGGGTGAAAAGTATATGGGTGAAAAGTATGTGCAAGAAGAGTTTCTGGGTGAAAAGTTTATGGGTGAAATGTCTGTGCAAGAAGAGTTTCTGGGTGAAGAGTCTGTGGGTGAAAAGTATATGGGTGAAAAATTTGTGTAATAAGAGTTTTTGGGTGAAGAGTCTCTGGGTGTATAGTATATGGGTGAAAAGTATGTGCAAGAAGAGTTTGTTGGTGAAGAGTCTATGGGTGAAAATTTGTGGGTGAAAAGTATTTGTAAGAGAGTTTCTGGGTGAAGAGTCTCTGAGTGAAAAGTGTATGGGCAATAAAAGTTTCTGGGTGAAGAGTCTCTGGGTGAAAAGTATATGGGTGAAAAGTATGTGCAAGAAGGGTTTCTGGGTGAAGAGTCTCTGGGTGAAAAATATTGGGGAACATAGGGATAGATTGGATGCTGGCTTTAGCTCCCCCCTTCTCAGGCTCAGTATATTTTAGGATATTTTCGGATCATTGACTACCCCATTCCAGAATTGGGACTGATGGTACTGTTTGGGATGAAAGTGCCAAGAAATCCGCGGAGCTGGCACAAAATCCCTCTCCGCCATTCCCCGCCAAGGATTGATTTATTCATCATCACCATCGGTTATGTGCCTGGGACCAACTAATACCAACGAAGTACATCGAAGCACCACCAGTTGTGCGCGGTACCCCATGGTACTTGGCATTTGAACCTTTGGCCATTCCGTGCCATTCCGTGGATGCGTTTTGCCGGTGTTATGTGCAGATTCTGGTCAGGATAGCCCTGCTAAATGTAGAGGCAGCACTAGATCAACACAGTTGTTTTTACAATAGTTTATTGAAGGTTTATTGAACGGATTCGGAATGATTCAGATGGATATAGATGGATCCAGGAGTTTTTTTATGTTTGAGGAGACTTCTATCGGATCTTTTTGGTGGTTTTTTGGTGGTTTGAACAGAACTGAAAATTCTGTTGGCGAAGCCGTGGAGCACCGGAGCGCCGAGGTGGAACTGATTCTGTTGGCTGCTGGATGGAACGTTGGCACTTTTGGTTTTCTGCGCGTTCTGCGGATTGTGCGTATTATGCGTGCCCTGACAAAAAAAATCTCGGCTGATTCAGGCTGAAAAAGTGGGCTTGAACATAGTTGGACACATTCTTGATTTTCGATGATTCTCGGGTGCTACGCTGCAATGCTCGACGTCCAGTTGAATCGCTGTGCACATCTTGAGGTTTGCTGAAAGTCTTCCGGAAGATCCCGTATTTGAAAGAGTTCCTTGGCAATGCTGACAGAAGCCCTCGATTTCAATGGTGTGCAATCAGCGCAAACGAGGTTGTGAATGTTTGTCCATGGTTCAATACTGCTTCATATTGTTTGTGATTTGTTGGAGGAGGATAGCTTTGTACAAGCTACAGTAAGTGGTGAGCAAGACATAAAATCATAACATCTGAATCCAGAAGGCCCACAACTTGGGGAGAATCTTTGTAATCTGCACCCATTTCCCTGTGGCACATGCCCAGATTGAAGTTTACATGTTGAGTATTTTTCAGCAATATAGCCTATAGGAGTGAAGTTAAACTTCGCGCTTTCTCCAGATGGAGGATGATTTGCAGATACCTGCAGTTGCTTCACAGCACGCTTGCCGCGCAGGCTGCAAAAATTGGTCAACATGACATCGACTTGCATGAAAACTCTGGGTTGGTCCTTCATTTTCTGCTTCGTGATCATGCGCCTCAGTTCCCATAGGTTGCAGGTGGATTCGGCAAGTTTTTTTTGGTGATTTCCCATCCAGATATATGGCATATTGTGGCATATTATGGCCTTTTGGGGTCAAAGGATTTACTTTGTCATTTGGAATGATGTGCAAGTCCCCACTGCTTGGGAATTACTGTTTTTTGGACTTTGCTGCCACTTTGATCAGATTTGAGTTTAAGCGATTTTCCCCCCAACAAATTCAGGCAGGCTGAACCGCCCTGACCACGGCCGTTTTTTCATCGTACTTGTACCAGCCACGTGCTTCAGCTCAGCCAACTTCAACTGAGGACTATTTGGGCGATGTTGATGGTCGAATTTGTCCACCCGTTGCTCAGACTCCACAGTTTGTAGCATTTGTGCAGTAGCTCTTCGTGCCATGAGTAGGAAGGTTTATAACTGCGATTCTTATCTCACCACAGTAAAGGAGGTGTCCAATCTGATTTTTCTGCAAGGCTCATTTTGGAACTGCATGAGAGTGACTTTGCCAGCATCGGGCAGAAGCAGGGTTTTGTGAAGCTTTACAGGGATCAATAACTTTAGATAACTTCGGGTCTTGGGGGCTAGGCCAATTTCTTTGGCCCCTTTATGTTACAATGCAAACAACTAGTAATCATACGTAATTAATACTAGCCGTGTGTGTTTCTGTTGAACTTTGAACACACGGTGCAGGCAGTTGACTATGCGGCCTTCATATTTTAGAAACAATCAGACACGTTCCCGCCTGAAAGGCATAGTATCAGACTATATCAGACTTGCTTTGGTTTTTGAGTGGTTTTCCGGTTTGATAATGTTTGACATAGATATGTTCACTACTGTTCAATGACATTTTCCCCTAGGTTCCCATATCCAACAGCAAGAAACCGCTGCGCCAGAGCTCAAGATGTGGGAAACGGGTGCCTCAACCCATGGCGCTTCGGCCGGCCATGGCGAAGGTGCTGACCTGGTGCGCTTTTCTGCTGCGGACCTGGGCGCAGATTGAGATGTGCCACCCAGAAACTGGGCCATGCAGCTGGAAGTTTTGGTTGTCTTGAAAGTTGTCTTGGCATGTTTTGCAGCTGCATATTTAACATTTCCATACATTTCCCATTTAACGCCTGCATAGAGCTTTGCTTTCTAAGCTTCTAAACTCCACAGACTGTCGACTGTCAAGAGTCGCTGATGCTCAAAGTAAGGAGTGCCAGACCTGTCATTTGTTTGACTTTGACCAATCTTGGCACTGTGCCTTGGCCTTGGCATCGCCGTACTGGCCGTGCCTCTCCCGAGTCGTTTTCTGGGTTTAAAGCCGGTTCCATCATGTTCTGCAGCTCACCAGCTCCTTTTTTGCTTTGATTTTGAAGCCAGGCCTGGTTATTCCATCTTCCGTTCGACCTTGGTGGAATGCCGCAAGATGATTTTTAAAAAAAAGCTCCTGCTCAGCACCTCAGGTTTGGAATGCAATCCTGGTTTCGATCTTTGGGTGGATGGCTGCTTCTTGCCCTGCCCCATTGGCGAATACCGCTACGGATACACCTGCGAGAAGTGCTATGCCAATTGCAACGTCGCTCGTCTTTGCGAAGCATGGGAAGCCAATTCCTGGCGGCAAAGGGTTGGATGTATTGCCATTTGTTGCAGATCATCTCTGGTGTCCTTGCACAACAAACTACTCTGAAATGGGATGAATTGTTTGAGGGAGCCGGAGGTTCTTTAGAAGTGGGGTTTGCCAGTTTGCCTCGTTCAGAAGATGTGGAAAAAGGATCTGAGCAGTATATCATAGTATATCATACTCCCATTGTTTTGATAAGGATGATAAGATATAATAAGGACATCAACAAGCTTGACTTGTTTATTCACATGTGATTCACCGGCATCGTGCGTTTGTGTCATGTGCTGTGGCTGTGGCTGTGCTGAGGTGTGTGTCGGTGGACTTGCTCATGAATGCCAGGTTTGCTCTGATGGCTACACCTTTGACTTCCGCGGCCTGTGCGTCAGACAATGTGGAATCGGAAGACTCTGGGTGTTGGAAATTCCCAATAGCCATAGGAAATACCCATAGGATCCATGATGGTAAATGTTACCATATATAGCATACATGGATCCTATGGGATATGTTTGCAGCATTTCATATCATTTCATTTTTTGGATTTTTTTTGGTGCGTTCCAAACCCTAAACGGCACGATGCTAGTGACTGTGAATGTGCACATGCTGCACATTCACAAACATTTTTCACAAGATCCAGCTGATTTCACCATTTTCACCAGGATATGCCTCAGCTGATGGACTGAGATGTGATGACTGCGATGCCTACTGTAGGGCCTGTATTGCAGGATCCCGCATTGCGTGTACCACGTGCTATTCGGGCTACACCCTGCGAGTCTTAGACACAAAAACCAATACAGGTGAGTGCATGCAAGATTGCCCCAAAGGCTTTTTTCGAGATGCTCCCAACGATTTACGCTGTATCCAGTGCGGAAAGTATTGCTTGGACTGCAATTCACTGTTCAACTGCTTCGAGTGCCAAGCAGGTGCCACACTTTTCCGTGGAATTTGCTATTTGGACCCAACTGGAACAGTGGATACAACGGTGGATCTGCAAACGTATCTGTCATCGGGAGCTGGAGCCACTTGGGATTCCAACGATGCCCCCAGCTGGACCCTGCTGACCTCGCAGACCAGACGCCTTGAGGCGTTGAACTGGGATCCCAACGGATTTCCAGGGGCCCTCATGAGTGAATGATGATTTAAATTGTAGAATTCTTATAGATTTGCGATAGATTTGTTATTGTTGAATATTGGTGATGATATGTGATGATATGTGATGATTGGTTATGAGAATTTATGAGAATTGATGGGTGACGGTGTGTGGTTCAAGATGTATCTCAAAAAGATGCTCAAAAGTCAAGGTGGGCAAGGTGGGCAAGCGCCGTGCACATGAGATGCATGGCATGCTGTGTCATTTTCTCAGTACCTGGTGCTGAGCTTGGAGCTTATCTAAAGGTCCAAAGTCGGTGTGTGCCGATGTTTCACCCATCACCTCTGTACAGATTGCGTGGAAAAAAAGCTGTGATTGAGGCTTGTACTCCTTCAGTTCATTTCAGTCCAGACCGCTAGTCTCCAAGAGAACAAGCATTGGAATCCATCGACTTCGTTTTTGTGGATTCAATTTGCGAACTATTATATGCGGGCATACCTATGATATATTTTGATATATTATATTATATATATAACACCGGGGCATGTGACTGGAGAATGATGCATAATTAATGTAACGAAATGTGGACAAGGGGTCGCACTACACTGCACCTGACTTGAATGGTGGCTATATGTAACTATGGAAACTATGACCGCCAACTTCGGAAAAGCCACTTATCCGTAGCGACCACAGTGGCGCCGCCATGCTCTCTCAGGTGAAGATCTCTTTGCAGGCGACGAGCAAATCCTGAGAGCTGCTTCCACAGTACCTGGGCCCCGAAAGGGATCACAAGGCTACTAAGGCCAAACAGCCGAAAGGGATATCCTAGCAGCCTGAATAGGATTGTGGCAAGTTACAACAAGATTTAAAACAGTGTGAGTCAAGGAGTGCTTCTCTTGGCCACCATGCCAAGACACAGCTGCCATCAATTGCTGATATTGCTGCTTAGATGTCTTAAATTGATTCAAAGTGAAGATGTTTTACGGTTTGAGAGATTCTGAGGTCTTCACCAGGTTCCTGCAAAATCCTGCAAACCAAAAAAACACAAGTCATCTTTCACAAGGTGATGCATGCGAACTTGCTACTCTTCAAGATGCTCGGAACAATTGAGGTGTCAAACCAGAACAAGAGTCATGCAGCCTGGAAGTCGTAGACACTGGGGTGTTTGGCACCAGTATCACATAGTATCACCACTTCCTCCCAAAGTCATTTGGCAAAGCGCAGAAGTTACGATGTAATCACTCGGCCAGGAGCCAGAATCAGACAGAAGCCACAGAAGCCACAGAAGTCGGATGCAAAACTTGCAAATCTAAACTAAATCCAACCACACCATAATCGCTGTACCACACCAGCAATATCCATCATCCAACGATGCTGCCCTAGTGGAATCAAGAGATATCAAGAGTTTCACCAAGGACTGTTATAGCTGGCGATAGCTGGGGTCGGATCGCGGTACCGCTGATAGAGGTTCGGCTTTCAGCCACATGATGGCGCAGTCTCCCATTGTGCCCCTTTGTAACAAAGGGATGCTGCTAGATGTAAAGACCGAGCAGAAAACGCGGATGTGCCATGGATTTTTCGGAGGAAGTTATGTTGAAAGACCGACTAGATCTCATTAGATCATTAGACATTCAAACACTGGCACAGAATCGTTCATTTGGTGCGCCTGGCTGGGTGCAGCTTCTGATTGTTTTGTGGAACTAGGCCTACGAAATATAATTTAATGCAATGATATGCAAGTTAGGACTACTGCAAAACGAGGAAAGCAGCGTTTAACTCTCACGGACATCGTGGGACAAGTCAGGGTCGGTGGATGTTTATAGGTTTGCCTAATAAATTGCAAAAAAGGCAGCCCTCCAAACTGCGTTCTCTTCCACAACTTCAATAGCAAGGATACAAGGAAGACTTGCAATTTTCAGGACAAGCCTTGCATTGCTAGGCATTGATTACATGTATATACTGTGCAGAGGAAATTTCCATAATGCTATGAGATACAGTAGCATCATCAGTGCCATTTCTCGTATCAGGCGTACCCCGCCACTGGCATCATCTTTGTGGGGAGTTTGCTCACACTCGTGTTCGGAGTGCCCTGGCCAAATGAGAAGCACCCCCAGGGCAAAGCGGGAGGGCATCTAGGTGTCACAGACAACACGTGCTGCGTGCACCAGTCAGGTTTGGTTCTCACATTCCTTTCTAGACAGGGTTCTGCAGGGGGTAGAATATGCATCAAAGGCCATGCATTTTACATGTGTATCGGTGCAGTTCCGTGCACCCCCGCAATCACAGGCATTCAAATGTTCCAATAAGATCATTTATCCAACATTTATCCAACTAGATTGTCCAAGATATGGAATGAATGAAAAAAGTTTTGCGAAGGATGCTTTTTCAAACGGAACCCTTGGCAAAGCGAGAGAGGGAGCTCAGCTAGGCAAACATTGGCAAAAACATGCAAAAACAACAGGTTCAAGTGAAGATGCCGTCAAACCCCTTCGAAGGACCTTTTGCTTACCGTGCGGTTGCTGGAAGGCATTAGAGGCAACACGAATGAGACTATCAAAATCATCAATGATGCCATTGTCATGACCCGAAGCAACAACTCATCTTCGCACTATGGCGTAATGGAATCCTTGTGCAAGAAACCATGCAAAATATGGCGGCGAAGGTCGTGAACATTCGGAAAAGACGTTTAACCTAAAATGTGTCTTCAGCAAGAGACAGCAGCTCCCATGATCTCCCATGAATAGGTCAAGCGCGCAAGGACAGGACAATACAAATCATTGCTGACAGCACTGAAGCCACACCAAAACATTGTAGCAGCTTTCCGCGCTTTCGAAGCAACCCCCAAGCCAACCGACAAATGCTGCACCTGCACGTTTGCGTTCCGAAACCCAAAAAACAGTGTCCACTGCATGATTTTTGATCGTGAAAACGAGGAGTCCGTATGTTTCAGTCATGTTCAGTACGCCCTTAATTTTCTCATGTAACTTCCAACACCTTCTTGGTGCTACGCTCCTAACTTTCTCCTGCAACCTCCGACGCGTTCTTGATCTAAGCTTTCTCAAGCAACCTCCAACCAATGGGACTCAATGGGTCTCAATGCCTGGACTGGGCTGGACAGGCGCTGGTCTAGTGTTTTAAGAATTTTTAAGAAATATATTCCAAAGGAGTTGGCGTCCAAGAATTCTGGCAATCGAGACTTGACTGGAAGGACGATTCAAACTGATATTTTGTCTGGAGTTGCGATGTGGCCAAGGACACAAGGTTGAAACAATTTGGCACATTAGACATTGGCAACGACTCGCACGTGAAAAAAAATTGTTTTCGTACACGGGGACCAAGAAACAACATTTCGACGATTGTAAATCATAAATTCAACAAAGACAATTTCAAAGGCATTCAAACAACAATCGACATGCAAATCATGTGAAAATGCTAAAGCCACTAAACCTGGGAAGGGTTGCAAAGATTGAGAACGGGTTGCTGAAAAAATTGTAAATGGCGCGGGGTTGTTGCGACGGCGTGGCCTTGTTCCCCACCTCCGGTGAAGGCCGTTAGATTTTATGTCAGCTGTCCCGCCACCTCCTCCTCCTCTTCCTCCGCATCCGCCGCCTCCGCCGGACTTCAACTGCAAGCGCTAGATCGCAGTGTTCCCCGCCGGACCCGAACAGCAAGCTCAGGATCAGAGTGTTCCCCGCCAGACCTCAACTGCAAGCGCTAGATCGCAGTGTTCACAAGCTCCGGATCAAGTGTGTCCCGCTGGACCGCAACCACAAAAAATCTCCGAAGATATAACAGATAGAATGCCAGCCAGAAGATGTGCCAGAAAGAATGTCAGAATTTATGCCAGAAGGTATGTCAGAATAATTGGATGTCTGAAGGTATGTCAGAATAGATGCCAGGAAGAATGTCAGAGTATAGGCCAGAAAGAATGACTTCCACATGGTACATGTCAGACACTATGTCAGAATAATGGATCAGGGTGGGGATCACTCGAAGAAAATATTTTTATTGTTTTTTCCTGGTGCTGATACACTCTCCGTGTTTGCGATCCCTGTGCCCGCCCTAGCCTTAGATTTCCGATAGGGTAACAGAGGAGGAGTTGACAAAGTTCTTGTAATAATTTGTTGAGCCAAAGTGCTTTACGCGATGTGCGTTCGGGATCGTGGGTTTTGTTCTTGGCTCGGACGCCGGGGTAGGGCACGCAACTTGTTGTCATTTCGTACTGCAATTTAAAGGTCATTGGCCTTCGGCAGGCCTTTGGCTCAAGTGTTTATTGCTCAAGTGTTTATTGCTCGCTTTCTCAATTGACAATGGCGAAGCGAGGGCCCATGTCTTCCCCTAGTAAACCAGATGCAGGCAAACATCACAAAGGAGAAAGGGCAGATGATGAGGTTACATTAAAGGATCTTGGAAGGATGATGTCAACCATTACTATGGACATGAGTGAGATGAAAGAGGATCTTGCCGCAATCAAAGGTAACATGGTGACAAAGGAGGAGTTGGAAGAGTTCAAAGAAGAGCAAGACAGAATCATTAAAGATAACGTGAAAGCAGAAGTTGAAAGCCACCTCCAGGAACTCAAAACAAGAAACGATGCCTTTCAGGATTTCATCCACCAAAAGATGATTGAGGATGTGAAATGCAAAGCCAAGTTGGATGGCTTTACCTCAACATGGACCGAGGAAAACATCAAGTCCGACCCATCACTAGCCGAACTCACAAAGAACTGCACTCATATAGAGCTTTTCCGCAAGAAGAGTGGGGAAGGTCTGGGAAAAGCAATTTTGACTTTTGCGTCAGTTTCTGACCGCCAAAATGCCGTGAATAAGTCCAGGGAATTGAAAATCCCCGGCATCTATTTGAACAATGCGGAGACAGAGCTTGACCTAAAGAAAAATAAGCAGCTCAAGGCTGCTTTTGGGGAGGTTAGGAAGCAATGGGAAGGAGACAGAAAGGAAGTCAAGCTTTTCAAGAAGGAAGGTCAAATCAAGGTGCATGGGAACACGGTGGCTGAGAGAGACAACAGCACATGGGAAGTGAACTGGGTGATCCCACAACACCGTATCAAGAATGAATCAGGGCTCAAGGAAGCCTTGAAAACCACGACCTAGGAAACGCCTCAGGGGCAAGGGTGGCAAACAATTCGGATTTTGGGATGGAACATCGCAGGAGGAATTCAGAAAAAATTAAACAAGCATGAGGTTGCAAGCGAAGTTTTGCAACATGATTTTGTCTTTTTGTCGGAGACGCAGTCGAAAGGCAGATGGCTGTTTCGACCGCTATCCCACTACCACATTTTTCGGAAAGATAGGAATGCAGGGAAAGCTGGCGGGATAGCTTGGCTAGTTCACCGGAAATATTTGCATATAACGCAGCAGCTGGACATTGACATTAAAGGGACCTTGGTTCTGGAAATTTCAAATGAGAATCGGAAACTCTTTTTGATTGGTGTCTATTTTCCTCCTTCTGGCACTCTGTCCTTTGCTTGAAAGAAACGACATTGTAGATCAGATGCCGGCCTTGTTGAAGAAACTTTCTGATTTCGGGGAGGTATTGCTCCTTGGTGATACTAATGCACGCGTAGGAGATTTGAATGATGGGAAGCTGATTTTTGATGAGCATATGGATGAAGATTTGGAAACAACTTTATTTACCAAGCAGCGCGAACCAAACCAAGACAAAGTGGTCAATGGCAACGGGGATGAAATCATTTCATGGGCTCGGGCTGGCAGCTTGTGGGTTTTGAATGGTCGATGTTTACCCAATTCGTGCACATATTTTGCAACACAAGGGCGGTCGAATTGTGATACTTGGCTTGGAACGGAATGGGTTTTGGAAAACAGTTTCGATGGAAAGGTAGATGGACCAGTCCTTGACTCTGACCATGCCCGCATTAGTCTGGTTTTGCCTTTTCTTGTTTCTCGCCGTGCCACTGATTGCGCGCAATATAACTTCATTCAAAGCTCCATTCAGAAGTTGAAGCCTCCATGGAAAATGCGACGGTCGAACATTTTGCGAGTTGCAGCAGATCCACAGGCCATGGAAAACTTGCGGGTAGAATAGTTGGGAAATTCTGGTATAATAGAAGCTTCACGTAACATGATTTCACAACTTGCGCATGGAGACCGAGTCACTGCGGAACAGGCGGCTTCACAATGGCTGGCTGCAGTTGAAAAACTTAGTGCTGTTAGGTGGCAAAGTGTGTCAAACATGCAGATGACAAACAGCAACAACCAAATGAAGGACAAGTCATGGCAAACCAAGCAATTGGAAAGACGGTTTCGCTCCTTGAAAATGAGATGGAGAAGATCAACTGCAAATGCACCAGTCGATGTCAACAACAGCCTTTACATTGACATGCTTGCCGCCAGGAAAGCTGCAAAAATTAGCTACGCTAGAGACAAGAGAAAGAAACAACAAGGAGATTGGGATACAATTAGTATCCCCTTACCAGTTTCCGCCAGAAAGTCTAGGGGGTCAACCCCCCTGTAAGCCTTCATTTCCTAGTCATCCCAGGTTTGTATTCTGGGGATCGGCTGCTTTCATAGGGGCCTTAATTTTCTAGCGTGGCTATTTTAAGCACCTCAAAGTTGACAGAGCCTAACTTTCTGGCGCGGAAGATGCGGATTTTACGGACCCAATTTTGGGGAGTCAGCCTATGAATTTCTAGTGGGCTCTGTCTTTCTAGTTTAGTTGAGTTAGACTTATGTTTCTGAATACTGGTTCCCTTTTCCTTAGGAAATCCGGCTCGTTAACTGCCTAACTTTCTGGCGCGGAAGATGCGGATTTTACGGACCCAATTTTGGAGAGTCAGCCTATGAATTTCTAGTGGGCTCTGTCTTTCTAGTTTAGTTGAGTTAGACTTATGTTTCTGAAAATACCGGCGTGAGTTTCCTCTAGGATTTCAGGGGGGTCAACCCCCCTAAGAAGGACTGATAATCTGGCGCGAAAATTCTTCGATTTTGATGAAAGGCTGCATTTATCAACCCCCTCATTTTCTACAGAACAACTTTTGGAGACCTCTGAGTCGGGAGACCCTGATTTTCTGGGTAGCTTAAGTGCCCAAAATCCAGGAGCATAATTT